ACCACGAGTGACTCACGTTGTAGAAATATGAGTGACTGGCAACCTACTGATTAGAATTCTTCTGTTTTGTTATATTTGTACATCCGGTTAGAAATTAAATGACCTCTTCTTGCCACCACTCTTATGCCCTCTTTCTAGTCAGTTGTTTTTTCTTAATCTCGAAACTCGGAATTCCCTGCTCTGATCATTAGTTTTCTCTTTTCAACCCATGGTTCAAGGTAGATTATTAGCCTTGGCTCTGAAGCTTGTTTTAAATCGGTCATCACCGATTGATTCGGTTCCAGATTCGGTCACTGGACTGGAAATATGTTTCCATGAATGATGAATGGAAAAACTCTGACAATAAGCAGACAATGCCTCCCTGCACACGTACGTGAAAATTCCATATGGTCGTAAAACGAGGTAGAAGCTATGTCAGTCCTTCTGCTGGTCACTCCTTCCTGAAACCGGATCTACTGTCATTGAGGATTGCATGTTCTTTCAGACATTTTGCATTCCTTGAATACCGACATTACTTACTGCCTCTTATGTTTGTACGCTTTTGTGATTTTTGGCATACAACGCCTGGTACCTGATCGGTATCGTCCAGTTTGTATGATTCTTGTCTTCATACTTGATGCTTGGCGTTTACAAGTCGTCGATAAGAGGCTTTTCCCTTTCGCTGAAAATTTCTGTCACCACAATTATCGTCATCGGCCTTTCTTGACTCGCTGTTGATGAAAGCTTGTACCAGGATTAGCATAATCTTGTTTTTTGGTCATTTTTATCCATCTTGATTCAAAGAACTTCTACCATTGATCTAGACGTCTTTCTATGGGCAGTTTTTTCTCTGATGGAATCCTGTCGAACGACTCTTTCGTCCAGCGACCGGTCAGATTTTCTTGCAACGTATCTTTTTCATTACTACGCTAGCTTCTTCACTCTGTGACTGTGAGTTTACCACTCCCCCTCCCCCTCCCCATTCATCCATCTTCTTCGAGATGTAAACAGTGGCAGTCTAAGAGTCCTTAAGGATAAATCTGAGCGTGCTACTACTGAGGATGAGGTTATATTTCAGTAATAAATGGTGTGCTCTTCGAGGAGCTCTTTACCTCGAAGAATCCGTAGGAAGACTCGCCTGCCTGAGCATTCAACAGAATCTTTCAGATGATCAAGTTAGCGAAGCTATGAAAGGCGTGAAAAGTGGAAGTTTCGTTGAAAAGAATGACATCCGCCCTGAAGGGCTTAAGGAATTAGGCAAACGAGACATGTTATAATTATAACATAAGTATTTGTTGATAAGTTTTGATAAGCGCACCATACGACCAGGTGTCTACTAAATGAGGTAATTTCTACTTCATTAAGATTACATCATGTGGTTCAAGCAGTGCAACTCCTTGTTGTAAGGCGCCTAATCTGCTTGGCCTCAGACCTTAGTAAGATTTATGAAGTGCTGTTCAGAAGGCTACTGGTTTCGTTCGTGATTTATCATAGCTCTTTATAAACCTGTTTTGCTCCGTGACCGTTTCGCTGCCGCGCACTCGCTTTTCTGGCCACACTGTTGCCGCGTCGATTGACAACCACTTTCCTCGCTTGTACATTAATCGAACGCTTTAATCGTATTGACGATCGTCACGCCGGTCGCCTCAAAAACACCTCCCAACTCTATTACTCATTGGACGGCCAACAATGCAGATTTTTGCGCGTAATTTTCAAGCGGCGATTAACGAAAGGTCACGAATCTGCGATGCCACCTAGAAAGCCGTTGGCGAGTGCCCGCCGCCAAGTGAACAAGTGAACGGCTATCGATTATGAGTCGAGTGTGTCTGATACGAAAGACGAGCCAAAATAAGCCATGTCTGTGCGAACTGGACGTGTCGCCGCCGCCTTTCGGGCTTCTTGGCTAAGGAGTTCTGCTTTATGCAAGGTGTCGCTCAGTCCGTTGCTCTGACTTTGCCAAAACTGTCGTCCTTTAACCTGCCCTGTAATCGTCCAGATATTAGTTTACAGTACAGTGCGTTCGGTGTAATATTCTACTATCGTATTCGCGTAATTGACTGGTTTAGTTATTGCTTAATAATTATATGTGTGAGATGTTTTATTGTTTTCAGTTGTTAATACATGCAGCTCAGATGAGACCGAATCGAAATCATATCCTTTTGCTGACCAACGCGATACTTTTGCGTACAATGATTTAAAACAGTGGACCTCATGAACATAAGGTAAAGTAACTGAATCATTCAATGCTTGTGCTTGCCATCTAAGCCAAGTTTGGCTGTTCACAGCAAACCTTCTCTTTTTTTGCTGTTTAAGCATGTTTGCCGTTTGGTTGTTGGTGCTGCTTCCGGACCACGCTCAGTCCTACGTCTGTACCCACTGGAACAGGCGAGTCTATCCGATGACCAAGGAAATCGAATTGTACCTCGGAGGAATGTTTTCAATCGGCGGAGCGGACGACTACGGTACGAATGCCGACGGATTATGGCCGTCCATGCAATTGGCTCTTTTGGACGTTAAGAACCACCCGTGCGTCTTAAAGGGCTACAACCTATCGATAGAAATCCGAGATACGCGAGTAAGTACCCTCGAATGTGTGTCAACTGGCATTCATAAATAACGTACAAAGGAAAGTTGTAACTGGTACACACAAGATGGCTTTATTTGCTCCTGAATGTCTTGCGGATGAATTATTGTAATGCGTTCGTGTATATACTGATTCGCAGGTAAAAATCTTCCGTAATCTTTGAAGTGAACAAATTTAAATAACCCTAATTATTCTAAACATACCAGGTCACAACTGGTGGGAAATTCAGGCTACTTATTGATTATACAAGCGATATTTTGATGGAGACAGCTTGGAACATATACAAAAAATCAGGGGTAATAACGACAGAAGAGACATGGTGATTAAGGAAACCGTGGAAAAGCTTGGCAACTGAACAGTCCAGGAAGGTAACTGTGTAGGTTCGTAACCGGCAATGTTTTGGAGGAGAAGTATTGAAGAAATTTTTAAAAAATGAATTATCTTCATCATCTTCATCTTCCATCGCCGCTTCTCCTTTCGGGTCGCGGACGCAGACGCGTCAGACAGTGCTTCCAA